ATATGTGATTATTTTAACCTTCTGCTTTTTCTGAAGTTCTGGATTACACAAAAGATAGGATTGCAGAAATGTATGTGCATGCAAACAGATTATGGCAACTGCTTCCATCTAGTTATATTACTAGAAGTAGTTAGCATCAAGCGTTACGTAATCTAGGTATCACATTATTCACAATATTTGCCTGTCGGTGTTTTAGAGACCTAACCTTAGAAACCTATTACGGCTGGAAAATGCAGAATTTATGGAAGATATATGTTGATACCCTCAAGAAAAAGACCTTAAAAGTTAGTTCCTGTTTTTCCCACAAATTACTTCAGGAATGGAATTTGCTCAAAAACAGTGAGTGGAAAATAGAACTGTTAATCTCAAGTATCAACAAGATATATTACCTCCAGGATTTAAAGGAAAAACAGACATGGCCACCTGGTCTGGGTGTCCTAAATGACTTTAGTATCATATCACTATCTAGTTGGAAACAAAATTCTCTCTAAAGTTCTCTCACCATTCCCAAAAGTTAGATCACATGGATGGTAGCTAGATAGGTAGTTATGTAGCATACAAAGGGACTTTGAAAGACATCTAGCCCAGTCACTCACAGCATCTTAGATACACTGGATGTTAGAAATTCTTTCATACAACATCTCAAATTTTCCCTATGCAGCCATTTATTCATTTGTTCCAACTCACTGTAGAATCACAAGTTTTCTAAACAACCACTTGAAAACCTTTCATATTTGAATATAGCCAACATGTCATCTTTAAAGTTTGCTCATCCAAAGTAAATACACTCGTTTTTTTCAAGGATTCTTTATATTTCACAGTTTCTGGATCTCTGTAGTCTATCCTGTCAGCCACTAGCCACATGGGTTACTTAAATTTAAATTAATTAAAATTAAATTTATCAATGGCCACATTTGATGTGCTAAATAGCCACATTAGGCTAGTAGCTATTGTACTGGGAAACAATGGTAGCGACTATTTACATCATCATCATTGCAAAATGTACTATTGGCCAACACTGCTGCAGGGTTTTCATTATCTTGGTATCTGTCTCCCCTCTGGCATCTTCATCTGTTTTATATTTCTCCTGTAGATCATTGTATCACTTACAATTCAACCAGAGAAGTAAAAACACTAGGACCCAAGTATTAATATGAAAATGGTGGGTTTTTTCTGTGAAATGCAGTGATTATAAATTTGATACGTCTTTATAACAATGATTATTTGCTTTGCAATGCTGTAGTAGTTTGCAAAGCTAAAGATTCTAAACTTTTTGAAAAACTCTAATAATTCCCCGATATGTACTAGTACAGTGGCTATATATGTATATGCTTTTATTTGGAAGTGATTTACTGAAAAAAGGTTCCTGCTTGAGTACAGGCAACTTCTATCTTGGCACTCAGGACAGAGAGTTACGTGCAGGGACAGGCTCTGAAGGCAGTTGGTAAAGTTGACCACTCTTGCTTTGGTTCCTAGCATATCCACCGTGTGGGACACTAACTCTCTCCCTGATCCACTTACACCATCACTGGCCATGATCTGGGACCAAGTTCCAACCTTGCTACACAACTAGGGACCCATTGTGACCCAGACTGCAGTAGACACGTGTGTGTCCTGAGCAACCATGCCAACTGCTCAGCATGCACATTGCTTTCTGCCCATTGGACTTGTGGCACTGATTCCATGCCTAACGTATGTCCATAGTTCATGTACATGTTTCAATGCCCTATCAGGCTTCACCTATGGGAAACTCAATCAGACATAAAAATAAGAATTTCAAGTCACCAAAAACAAAATATTAAACCAAGCACAGGGTGGTCTAAGAATGGGGCTCTGTACATCTACACAGATGATGTATACATGAATATAGTCCTGTAAATAAAATTTAATTCTCACTTTCTCAGCAAACATGGGGTGGATTGCATTAAAACTACTTTTAGAACACTAAAGGAGGGAACTGTGGTGGGAAGGGGAGGTTGGACAGAGTGTTTCTTTGGGTCTTTACTATAGATAACATGCGCTCAAGTCTACTATAATATAAAAAACTAAAAAACAATTGCCCACATAACCAAATTTAGTGATATGCTTGGCCTCAGAAGAATTACAAACAAGTCCTCAAATGCCACCTGGCTGTCTTCTGTCATGTTCTCATTCTCCTGTTTCTCTCTCTCTCTCTCTCTCTCTCTCTCTCTCTCTCTCTCTCTCTCTCTCTCTCTCTCCTTCTCTCTCTCTTCCTGTCTCTGTTTCTATCTGCCTGTCTTTCTCTCTGTCTCTGTCTCTCTCTGTCCCTCACGCTTTCTCTCTGTCTCTGTCTCTGTCCCTTTCTCATATTCCTACCTCTGTGACCAAGGACACTTTGCTGCTTTACTGGAATAACTTGATTCGATTGAGAAGAAGAAGCAATTTTCTTCCAAGAAGATAGAGATGTTCCCAAGAGGGAATGAGATGGAGAGGCAATAAACCGAGTAATAAAAACTATAGACACAGTTTCTAGACAAATGTCACACTCTTTCTAACATTTTAAAACGATAGGTAGATGCTGCAGAAGGCAGTAACTTACACTTCCTAAATGGAAGAAAGAAAATTTTCACCTTGCTTTTCCAGCCCTCAGGCTATTCTTTTGACAAAAGGAAAGAATGTGTCAAAAATTAATCATAATATCTAGTCATTGCGGTTTTTAATTATCTTCCTCTTTGTGTTTCCCACACCCTTTTTTTGCCTGCATTAAAAGTAATAATAAAGTTAACTACAAATGCCATAAACCTGTCCCAATAAAAATAATAAAACTCCACACTCAGAAAAGCCTCAAATGTTATTCTTTGTCTGTCTGTCTATCTATGTATATATTGCTATATATTTGTACTATATATATTTATACTATGTATAGTACATTTTTATGTAACAGAGATGAATCTCAAAGCAAGAAAATTTGATCTTCCTGAAGCTTTCTGTAAAAGCTGACATCACATTTTTCTTCCTGGATCCAGGTAAGAGAGCATCTGAAGGACATCTTCATTTGAGAGCTTCATCAAATACCAGAGGCTAGATGTAACAGAATTAAGTGCTGCATTATTTGACTCACTGGACAAGTAAGCCAAACGGAGGCACATTGAGGCAGGGAGTGACGGGGCTGGAGTGTTAACAAAAAAGCTTATTTATCCAGTCTTGCCCTTCTCCCAGTGCTCTCCATTTTCAAAGGCAAACTATAATTAAATAGCTCTGACCAGCTCTAAACTTGACTCAAAAATTAAGCTTCTTAGTTTGGTAAGAAAATCAAACCCTTGGCTCATTTTCTGAGGTCATCTCTTCTCCACCTTAGGAAGCCATAATGACAAACAGAATGGGCTTTTTCACCAGACCCTGATGCCGCTGACTCCCTCACCAATCTCTGATCTGCAGTCCCCCATGGCCTGCTGTTACTTTCCCTTCTATTGGCTATCACAGCTTGTGTGGGCTTCGCATGGCTTGTGTCCATGTGAGTCTTCCTGTTTAGACTCTACCTTACAGAGTGGAGAGCACAGCTTGACAAGGTAAGTGTTCCAGGGTAGGAATCAAATGAGATGAGAATGTTAAAGATTGTTTTCAGTGTCAGGATACCACATGTTTCTCCTTTCCACACAAATCATTGTGCTAGAGGATTGCACGACAGTAGCTAACACGGGCTGCCTAGGACAAGCCAACCGAGAACAAGGCAACTGGGACAAGGTTATTATTTAGCTTTCTTCTGGCACTGATGGATATTTTTTCATTTTTTTATTAGTACATGCCTGTAGTACGTGATATTTACATTCTTTGTGGGGAATTGTTACATGTACATAATAAAACTTAAATTTTCTTTTCATCCCCTTACCCTTCCCTCCCCTCCATCCATCTCCTCATCTCAGGTATTTTACCAGGAACAAGTAGATGCTTAAATATCTCACCCTTTGATTGTATAGCTTTGGAACTCTTCATTCCTAATTTTCTATCTATACTAAAATGTGACCTTTTGCATTTCCCTTTGAGCATTTTGTAAAAAATCTACTCTTTTCTCTCCCAAGTTCAGCTTCTGTAGTACACTTACATAATTAGATTCAATATATTTCACTTGTGTACTTCTTTCTCCTCTTATTCATTTCTCGTATTTTATGGAAAATTACTTAAATGACAAAGCACTCTATACTTAAGTATAACTTTAGGCAAAAAAGGAAGAGATAAATTTAAAGACAGTATATAAACCCAACGTTATGAATATCTCTCAAATATTGATATTTATAACAACAAGACAATTTTTGCCGTACTCAAAATGAGACATAAAATTCTCTCAAAGTCACAGCATATCATAGCGACAGCAGAAAGGAACTCCAGGCAGTGACTTCCTCACAACAAAGGGACAAAACAATAAATCAAAAACCTTCTGGGATATCACAGTAGTTACACCAGGCAGGATATTAATTTCAAAGATAGTTTAAATGTTATACCTGTCAAAATAGTAGTCTTGAGAAAAATACTAAAGAACTCCCCAGTTGCCTAAACTGTTTTTATACTTCCATGCTATATCCAATGTTTTTAGGTAACATTTTAAAAGTATAAATGTTTATTACAGAAAATATTAAAAATATGTACAGAAAATAAAAATTCAACTGTATCACTGGTTATAAATATAGGAGAAACCAAAGCCAAAGTACTTTTTTCCCTACTCTCACACACTGTGAACACAACGCTTTACCTCTGGTGACTGAAACGTGCAAGGTTTCCCCACTGCTAGCGACCAGTACTGCAGAGGAACTGGGCTGAGTGTCCTCCAATTCGATTCAATTCGGACACTGTGTAACTAGGGATAACATCAGATCCCACAGGTTAAGGGCTCAGTCCCACAAGACTGACACCCAATTCAGATGTCAATCACAAGCCTTAGGTTATGGTCTATGTTTCTAATCAACCCGCTATGAATTATTGTCCTCACAGCCCTCCCCTTGGATTTTGCTAATATGCTCACAGACCTCAGGGAAAACACTTACCTCTACCTATTTATTATAAAGGATATGGGAAAGGATTCAGATGAAGATATGCAGAGGACAAGGTATATGGGAAGGATTACAAAACTTCTGTGGCCTCTCTGGGTGTGCCTCCTTCTGGGACTCTTCATGTATTCAGCTCTCCAGAAGCTCATCCAAGTCCTGTCCTCTTGGGGTTTAGTGGACGCTTCATAATATAGGAAAGAATGATTACATCATTGGCCATTGGTGGTCAGTTCAATCTTCAGCCTGCTGCCCTACCTCAGAGGCTGGGAGGGTGAGACAGCAAGCCTCAACTTTCTAATAATTCTCTGATCTTTCTTGCAATCATCATGATTCTCAAGCTATCTGGAGACCCCCAGCCACCAACCATCTCAGGAGCATATGAAGACCCTCTTAAAACTACAGAGATTACAAAGGGTTTAGGAACTTTTAGCCAGAAAATGGGATGAAAATCAAATAGTATTTCACAATATTATAATAATCCCAGGATAAGATTTTTTTAAATATCAATATATTTCTGGCTAACACTTTTTTCTAGGCAAACATAGAATAAGACTTCTTTTTTAACATTGTCAGTTAAAAGAGAAATAAAAATTATGCTAAATAGTTTAGTACATTATTTTTAGAGCAGTTTTAAGGTTAGTAGCAAAATTGACTGAAAGGTACAGAGATTTCCCACATGCCCTCTTCCCTTCCGCATGTATAGCCTCCACTATTAACAGCATCCCACACCAAAATGTTATATTTGCTACAATTGACAAGTCTATACTAATGCATCATTATCACTCAAATCAATAGTTTACATAGGGTTAACTCTTGTGCATTCTATTGGTTTGAACAAATATATAAAGTCATGTATTCACCATCAGAGCATCATGCAGAGTAGGTTCCATTGCTCTAAAATCCTCTGCCTTCTACCAAGTCATCTTTCCCTCCCGCTTAGGCCCTGACAATCATCTGTCTTTTTACTGCTTCCATAGTTTTGTCCTTTCAGATGTCATTAGTTTGAATCATAAAATGTGTACTCTTTTCAGATTGGCTTCCTTTACTTAGTACATGACCTCCACACATTTACATGGCTTAAAAGCTCATTTCTTTTTAGCTCTAAATAATACTACCTTGACAGGGTGTACCACAGTTTGTTTACCCATTAACCTACTGAAGGGCATCTTCTAAGTTTAGTAATTATGAATGAAACAGCTATAAACATCTATGTGCATATTTATGTGTAATAAACCAAAATAAATCTCTTTATTTATAATTTTACCCAGTCTGTAGAATTCAGTTATTAGCAATAGAAAATGGTCCACTTTGCAGTCTAACCTGCAGTGAACACACAGATTTGTTGTTTTTAGCCCTCCTGATTTTGACCATTCTAACAGGTGTGTAATGGTGACTTATTGTCCTTTAATTTCCATCTCCCTGATGGCACCGGATGTGGAGTATTTTTCATGTGCTTATTTCTCATCTATATGTCTTCTATGGTGAGGTATCTGTTAAGGTTTTGGCCCATTTTTAAATCAAGTATCTTGTTTTCTTATTTTACTGTTTAAGACTCTTGTGTCTATTTTGGAAAAAATATTCTATCAGATATTTGTTTGGAAAATCATTCCTTTCAATGTACAGCTTGTCATTTTATTCTCTTGAGGGCTCGTCTTGCAAAGCAAATAGTTTGAAGTTATAAGAAATTTTGTCTTATCATTCTTTCTTTCATGGATCATGCCATTGCTGTCATATCTAAAAAAGTAATCATCAAATCCAAGGTAGCTGTCTTTTAAGAAAGAAGTGTTATGTTTCCTGTTTTAAATTCAGGTCTGTGGTCCATTTCATATTAAGTTTTATGAAGGGCTTAAGGTCTGTATCAAAATTCCCATTTTTGTAGGTGGGTATCCCCTCGTTCCAGCACCATTTATTGGAAAGCCCATCTTTTCTCCATTGTATTGCATGTATTTCTGAGATAAATTGAGTGTGTTTATGTGGGTCTATTTCTGGGCTTTCTGTTCTGCTGCACTGAACAATTTTCTACTATTTCACCAATAACACATTTTCTTAATTATGTGGTTTTAGAGTGAGTCATAACCTTCTGACTTTATTCTCTATCTGTATTGTGTTGTTTTTTCTGGATCTTCTGTCTTTCCGTATAAACCTAGAATAGGTTTTTCAAAATTCAGAATGTTATTTTCTAGGTTTTTATTTACCCTGGCATTAAACTACAGATCAAGTTAGGAAGAACTAACATTTAGACAATATTGCATCTTCCTATCCATGCACATGGATATCTAATCATGTATGTTTTATTTGATTTCTTTCACCAGAGTTCTGCAGTTTCCTTTATTTTTAATGTAAAACATCAAATTATACATTCCTTTGACACAAATTTGATATGAATACAAGGTCTTTTCTTCAAGATGTGTCCAGTAATTGGTTCTGTCTATATTTCTTATGAAATGCATACTCACGGAAAATACAATATTTTTTTCAGTTTATATTTTATCTGAATTGTGAAGCTTAAGAGTCAATCTGAGTCAAGCCTTTTAATTTTTATAATGGAGCTTTCCAACTCTTTATTTTCTTCTTCACACATGATTAATACAGATTTTATAGAGATTTATCTTTATTATGTCTTTTCAAAGCTTGTAACAGAGCTTTCCAACAAAAGAAAAATCTTTCTTTTCACAACTGTATCACAGGGGCTAGGGATTTACCTCAGCGGCAAAGCGCTTGCCTGGCAAGCACAAGGTCATGAGTTCGATTCCTGGTACCAGAAGAAAAACAAAACAAAACACAATTGTATCACATTGGCTCCATGATATTTAATTAGACATATAATTTTGATATCAAAGTTCACTAGCATTTTAAAAGGCTTGTGTGCAGATACAAATGATTCATAGTAAGCTTGTTATTCAACTGGTGGGATAAGACTTACATAGGCACACAGAGAGATACCTAACTGCTATGCTTTGAATATGGGGAGTGTCCCCCAAGAATCTATGTGACAAGAGCATGGTCCTCGGGGTGGTGCTACTGGGAGGTGATGATGACATTTAGAAGATAGGGGCTTTCCTTTTTAAAAAAGATAAACATAACAATGCAACTGAGTTTCATAACAGGTTATTAGGACAGTTACAATAGTCGACGCATTGTGTATTGTCATCTTCCTAGTAGTTACTCAGAGTAGAAGATAAATGCATGCTATCTTATCTATGCCATATTAGCACAAGACTTTCTTTTTAATGAACCATGCATCTTGTTTTTGTCTTTTTTTCTCTTTAAAATAAAATTTTTAAAAAAGATAGGACTTTGTGATAGGTCTTTAGATCTTTAGAAAATTACTCTTGAAGGGTATAGTGAAACCTTAATCTGCTTCTTTGCCTCCCGGTTCATGATGTAAGAGGTTTTGCTCTGCCATGAGCTCTCGCTATGATGTGCTGCCCTAACCAGGTGCCACTAGAACTTAGCCAGGAACTTCCAATACTATAAGCCAAAATTATAAGCTAATTGCCTCAGGTATTTAGGTAAAAGTAGTGAAAGCTGACTGATACATTGCAAGCCCTAAGCTTTATGTATTCTACAACTATCATATATTTCATAGTTGAACCAAAAACCACTCAGGGGTCATCTAACAGAATTTTGATTGCACATTTTAATTATGGAACTATGATCATATTATATATCCATTTTTAACAGAATTCAAAGTTTCTTTAGTTACTACTGCCATAAAATACAACATTTTAAATGTAAAAATAATAGTTTTAGTGTTAAAAACTTGTAAATCCCGAAAAATTTCAAAGGTAAAAGGAGCAAAAGCCAATTTTAACCACCGTGCAATTGTCAGTAAAATCAATTATTAAAAAGATAATTTAGTTTTTAGGGAGGACGAACTGTGATTGTTACAGTGTGTTTTGATTTTTTTGTAGTTTATTTTTTATGAGATTTTACATACAAAGAACATAAATTGTTATGCTGCCTTACCAAAGTGTCCCAAAGCTCCATGGCTTACTGTCATGATATATTCGGGACAAATAATCTTGAAGCCTGTGTTCGAGGGTTTTTCAGAGGCCCAAATTGACACAGGCCCCACCTTATCTCATGTCTCACTGATCACTGTACCAATGAGAAGCGAGTAAAATAACTTCTATGTTAGCTTTCAGAGCTTCTGCACAGAAATGGCACATTTCATTTTCACTCAGATTTCATCGTTCAAAACAAGTCATAAATATTTTTAAAAAGTCATATAGTCTGTGCTCACAATCCAGCATATGAACTAGTACATTAAAGATAGAAGTGAAATCCATAGTTCCCAACAAGAAACATCAGGACACATTCAGTGTAGGATCATTCCAGAAGAGTATCTTTCAAGGGATTATTTAAAAAGGTATGTGTGTAAGAGAACTACAGTGGATTGAGCAGAAATCTGGGGCTGGTAAGCAACTAAATTGCTAGAATAGGGTCAAACTGATAGAAAGGCTGAAATCTTGCAGAATTAGTCACCTTGAGAGCAGCAGAGACTTTTGGTTAAGGGATATACTCATTTTGAGTGAGCTCTTAAACAAGAAGGCAGAAGAATACTCTTCCTCGCTTTTATCTCATTCTCATTTCCCTGTTGTCTGAACCTAACTTGAAATTAGAGAACATAGTTTATGTGTTCAGAGTCCGTACAGCTTAACCTCCCCAAGCAGAGAGCCGAGCAGAACAACTAAAGAGTTAACTGAAGTGACAGGCAGTATGTGTCCAGCCTCCTCATCCCTTTCCACTCCTCTCCCTCCTTCCTCCAACAAAGTTATCACTCATTTAAATGTTGTATTCAACATTTCCATTCATATCCATATACTTTTACTTGATATATATGTCGTATCAGAGAGACAGAAGGTGATAGATTAGACAGAGAGGCAGATGGTAGATATGCATTGTACAGTAGTAGTAGAGTATTATTTAGTCTGGTAGTTAAAAGGAGTTCACCAAATATTTGAGGTGATTTTTCCCTTCAAAACACATAGTAAATTTAAACATCCCAATCCCCTTAAAAGGTCAGTGTGACTATATGATTTACTTTGAACAATGAAATCTGAGTGAAAATGAAATGTGCCATTTCTGTGCAGAAGCTCTGAAAGCTAACATAGAAGTTATTTTACCTGCTTCTCATTGGTGCAGTGATTAGTGAGACATGAGATAAGGTGAGGCCTG